ACAGCTGGGCAGTTCAGAAAGTCCAAGAGGGACTGAGGAACAGGGCCTTATCAGAAATTTACTTTCATCTGTTTGGCACTTCAATCTGTGAGACTGTATATACAGAAAGCAGATTGGTGTTTAAGCTCCCTATGGACTACAAAAATATTGCTCTTTCTGCTATCTTCAAGAACCTCGATAAGAAAAAGCTGCCAGTCTTTCTTTAGAGTGATTCCTTGGAAAATAGTGTTTGAAAACTGTGGAAGGATGACATTTTAATTCAAGGAAACGCTTCACTTCTACTTACCTATCGAATCAGTTGACTGTGCTGACTTTAGCACTGCAGTGTGTGCCAAGGAGAAGGGAATATTTGGTTTCTCCTTGAAGCCATAGTCTTTATAGTCTTGTATCCAAAAGAATTTTCTTTTCTGAAGAAGCACTCCAGCATGAATGCTGTGGAAGTTGTGAAGCAGTGCAATCACTTGTAGGTTGTGTGCTCATGTGAGGGACATTCCTAGGGACCCAGAACTGCTGCATAAATTGTAACAGTAATTAGATTAATTAAATACACAGTTTTGGCAGTGTTGGTCCAGGCTTTGGGCAACATTGTGGGGATATGAAAGGTGGTTTAGAGCAACACTGGGTTTACTTCTCTGCTATGCAAAAAATGGGTTGTGTACCTGAGCCTTGAATGTTTTATGAGAAACCAAAAAAAGCATTGGGAGGGCTGGTGGCAGGTCTCATGTTCTGAAATTACCTCTTCTGGCCACAGTTTTACAAAGTGCTCCAGTTAGCCCAAGAAATATGGGAGGAGCCAGTCTAACAAGTAATTTACACAGTCTGTGCTACAGGAAAGTTATGCAGGGTCTGCTGCAAGTTATGCCTGTAACCTGGAGCCACTGTATCAGCTCTTACTGCAAACTACTCTGCTCCAGGTGGCCACACTCTGAAATTATGTAATGACTATGAGCAGCAGTATGCCATGTATGTTTGGGGACAGTATTTTCTCAAGAAAAGTGGGCTTAAGTAAGCACAAGTAAGTGCTCTAAAAGCTGTTCTGTAAAGATGCTTGGGCCTGGTTTAGTATTATGATGTATCTTACCTCACTGTAACACTTAGAGTGTTCAAACAAGTGGAAAGGCTTTCTGAAACCTTGCCTTTTTTGCTCTACAGTTCAGAAATATTAGGGAAATTCAGACATGTGCTCTGCTTTTCAGGACTTTCAAGTGGAGAGCATGAAACTGCTACCCAGTGAAAGGTGACCTGATATGAGACTCAGTCTGATTCATGGTATCCCACAATGCCATCCCAAATTTGTATTGCACTTATTTTCTTCTAGTATTTTAAACCTTTATATCCCATTGAATTTGTATCAGATAGATGAGGATTTGTTGTTTGAGGTAACTTGAGTTCTTCTTTAAAGGAAAAAATAAGCTTAAAATTGTATCCATTTCCAAAATGCAGGTGGATGTCTCTGGATCATTGAAAGGGGACAAATAAACCCACCACCAGCAGTATTGGAGGACTGAAGAGGATTGGAAGATTAGAGAAAAGACTTTTCAGTTAGATTTGGCTAAAGGATGTGTGAAAATGCAAGCAGGGCCGCTTCAGATATTTCTCTGATCTCAGAAAGCAACACTCTGTGTCAGTAAAGAGGATTGTACCACATAGGTTCAATTTCATTGCAATTTTTCTCTCTTATATGAAATAACCATCTAAGACTTCTTAAAAATTATTCTTTTTATTTCTCTGATCAGAAAGGATAGCATAATGCTGCTGAAGGTCTGTTGTGCAATGAGAAAAATGGCCAAGGAAGAGCTGTTCTATGTGTTACTGCTCATTTTCTATGCACAAATGACTTCTACAAAAACTCAGAAAAACACCAAAAAGTTTATATGAAGAGAGAGATGACTGAAAACTGGAATCTGATATTTTTACAAATGATAAGTTGTATGTATATGTATGAATTACTGTATTAGGAGAATTTTAGGTGGATTTTTAAGACTATATGTGGGTAAGATAAACGTGCAAGAAAGATCTTAGAAGCAAGATTATTATGCCATCCATCCACCCATCCATATGTTTACAATATCAAAATCTTTTAATGCCCCTTTTTTTTACTTCAGAATTTTCCTTTGACTGACTTGTTCATGGCTCACACCTCTATGTCAGTGTATTGAATAAATTTAAAAATACAATACTGGAAAGGGGTGGAAAAAAGCAGCAAGTATAAAAAAGTATACTATTGATTAATTTTTACAAAAGAGAGCATATCTAAAACAGTATTTAGAATGCAGGGAAATACATTAACAATAGTGGGTAATGTAAGGTACTGTTTGGTATACATAAGAGAGATGGCAGTCAAATGCAGGCTTTGAAAGATAAGCTGTGCCTAACTCCTGGGTTTACCACATAATTCCAGAATCTAGTTCAGATGAAGGTCACAATTCTTATAGTATCTTTTCAGGGGGAGTAGAAGTTACTTTTGGGTGGCAATCCTAGAAATTTATTTTAATAAGCTGATGTTGATAACAGCAGCTTAAACTTTCAAGAAGAGTTCTATTACACTAAAAAATAGGAGCACTTATTCCTAGTTAAATTATTGTAAGGAGTACAATGAACTGTTATCACAGTTAGTCAATGCTTGCAGCAATGCAATCTAGTATAGTTGCCAAGACCTACTGGTAGAATGTATTCTTAATCTGTGAAACTAGCTAATGTGAGATGTAACCACAGTAAAGACTACTGCAGGCTTTTAAAATAAATAAATTCTGAAGTGAGGCAGGTACCATCTGTAGCCAAAATAGCTATGAGAAGAGATAGTGACTTTTCATTTGTATTAAGCTTGTGCTTTAATACTGAAGGACATTGTAAGCAGATACACCAGCTCTTTGTTCCTAATTCTTGGTCCTTCTCATCATCAAAGCCTGGCGCCAGCCAAGCTTCTTGTCTCTACCAGTTTTCTTGATTGTCTCTCCACTCTACCTGTGATGGGACATAATAGAAGTACCACAACTTGTAACAGTGCTCACTGTCTCCATGGCTTCAGGGGATTGCCCTGAGCTGTAGCAGGCTCCATGAATGTCCAAACTGATGCTGCTCATACAAGTCGTGGAATCAACTCTGTTCTGAATTTATCTAAGATAAAGCTACACTTGATTCTTTTGTAACATAAGTTGAGTAATCTTCCAAAATATCTAAGGTTTCCACTTAAAAGTCTGATTTCAGTCCAGTATCATTTTGTTTCTCAAAAATAAGAAGAAACTTTTTGTTTTATATTAACTTTTTAATGAACATGTTGAGACATGTATCGCCCAGGTTTATTTTAGCAAGGATGGTATGAGCAGGCACGGTCCTACCTAGACATCCCAAAGTCCTGGTTGGCCCTCCAGTGGCCACTGCAGCTTGCCTTTCTTCCCCTGAAATAAAGAAGAGGAAAGGATTCCTTCTGCACACAGGCCTAAACTCAAATGCCTACCTCTCATGTCAAGATTTGATTAATGTAATACACTTTCTGTGCTCTGGGCTAAACTTGTTAAATCAGCCTGAAGTTAGTGAAAAATTACTTTGGTACCTGTGGAGCCTGAGACGTTTCTGGATGCAATACAAGATGCTGGTCCATAAATGTCCCTGGAACTTTCTCAGTTAGCAAAACATTTTGTTTTTTCTTATCCTCAATATGAAGAAGTAGAGGCCCATGAGCTGGATCAACTTTGTTTAATGGTGTGAAATTCTGTTAACCCCCCCCCCCTTTTTTTTTTTGTGAGGGTAATTCTTTGTGGGAAATTGGGGGGAAATAGTAGGAAAAAGAAGAGGAATATGATAGACCATTTTGTAATTATTGCTGCTTGTTTCCTGGTTTGATGTATTCATTGGCTTATGTTGTATCTTAAATGTACAGATGTGCTCCAGAGACCAGATTAGCACTAGTCTCTACAGCTTCCACATCTCTTCTGCTGCAGCTCCATGCAGTGATTTGAAATAAAATTATGTACCTGCAAAATGGCACACTAATGAAGTTGCTTTCAATCTTTTTCCATTTCAAATTGAGGTGTCTGAAGAGCTCAGGCGGGTTTAAAATTCTATATAATTTTATATAATTCTATGTGGGGTTATAAATCACAGCAGAGAAACTGTATCTGTAGTCTTGTTCATGTTACATATCTAACCTGCCTATGACTTTGTAGGATTATGGGTGAGATAAGAAGGAAATCTTTACAGAAACCTCAGCAGCAGTGGAGGATCTAGTTAGTATATTTAAACTAGCTGGAGGATTCTTGTGCCCTAATCAGAGTTTTTCTACAGAGGTCAGTGAATTTACTGGTCTAAATATGTTACCAGCTGCAGGTCAATTACTGCATGTGAGGATTTGTCTCTTCTGAACATTTTCTTTTCACTGAGCTGTTGCCTTGTGGTGCATGAGTGGCAGTGCTGCTGCACAGGTGGATGGTCCTGTCCCCTCAAGAGCAGTTTCACCAGCAGGCATGTTCCTTGTTTAGTCGCTGATGCAGTCTTGTGTGGAAGATGTGGAAGAAATCAGACTGAATTTAGCAATTCTAGTAAAATCATTTGACAGAAGCTGGTTAGTTAATAACAGAGAGTTGTTGTCTTGAGCATCATATGGTTGATGAATGGACTTAGTAGTAATATATTAGTTGACAGAAATGGACCATCTGCTTTTGTGTATTGTTGAATGATGAGCACAGTGGGTATGGAGTGAGTGTAATGGAGAAAAAAATACTGGTGCTCCAATATGTCTTTCTTCCTCATTTTTCCCAAAAGGAAAAATGAAAGAGCAGAGTGCATCTAAAAATACCAGTACAGATATCAATTAAAATTATTTTTAAATGGCTATATAGACAATATTTGCATTTTCTGGGCATATTTCAATTTCTGTGCTAAAAATGCAGAATGGCCTTGCAGAAAGCAATTATCTGTATTTGTGTTGCTGGTGATATTTTTTTTCTTGTGAGTTTTTCCGTGCATGTTGTCTTCATGTTTTTCAGAAAACTTTTCTAACATGTTTGCACCATAGAGTTTGGAGACTCCTGTGGCAATTTATGCCCTGGAACTTAAGGGAACCTTCAGTTAAGGTAAGTGCATAAATTTTTTTGTTGCACGTTTTTCTCTAAGATTCTGCTGCCAGTCTGAGCAATTCAATCACTAATTCTGACCAAGAGCATGTTTTGCTTTTACAGATAGATAGTAGTGCTGACACTTCATCACTCCTATGATCAGGTTTACTTATCTTGCCAGTTTTAAGTGTGTTCAGGAAGCTTACTGATCCAATATTTTTCTTGCTGCCTTTGAAGGGTCAGTGACTCTCCATCCACTCCCTCAGCAGTACACTCTGAAGAATCCATCATGGTTGTGGCAGCTGTGGGTTATGCCTGGTTGTACTTGCAGAAAATTATAACAGTTGTATATAAAGACTATTTAGTGTAATTTCTCTTGTCCTTCTCTAGAAAACATTCTTCTTATTCAACTGTTTTCTGTATCTCATGGGAGCTTTTTTGTTTTGTTGGGTTTTTTTGGTCAGGTTTTTTGTTTGTTTGCTTGTTTGCATTTGTTTGGTTTTTGAGGTTTTTTCTTTGTTCTTAGTCATCCAATCTGAATTTGGAGGATATTGTGAGAAATGTGACCTTCATGTAAACCTTGCTTGCTGCTGTATGTCTTTTAACAGAAGTACCTGCTGTTGCTCTGGCCTTGCAGTGGATGCCAGATAGTTAAAGGGATGTACCCTTTATAACTATGATTTTTGCAGTACTCATCTAATCTGTATTTAACTGGAATTTAATGTGTCCTGCAGGGGTTGACAGTACTTATTTCATATATTGTCATTAGCTGGAGATAGTAACCTTGAGGGAGGAGAAGCTTAATAAGACTTTATTTGCTTCTGATTCTTGCTATGAAAATGTTAGCCTTTCTTGTGGGTGTGACATCCACTGCTTAATGGAGCAGGCACTGGTGTAGTGGCTGGGGAGGTCTCCAAAAGTGCTTCAGTCATATTGTCCCATGCCAGGAGGATTCAGTACAGGGAATGATATAAATCTGAAGAGAAAATTGAGGCAAATCAGCAGCCCAATCCTCCTTAAAGCATAGAAGGGCAGCAGAAACCAGAAGGAGAAAGAAGATGCTCCTGTCCAGGCAGCTGTTTTTCTCTTATGTTCCCTATGCCAAATCTTCCTCTTCCTTCCTCTCCCTAATCCTAAACCTTCCTATTCCTCTGCAAATTAATTTTGTATTCAGCAAACATAAATTATTTGTATAAAGCTTCATTCAGGAGCACAAGTGCACATTGACATTAACTTTGCAAAATATACTCAAACTAAATGCTTCTATGTATTCTGTGATTTTTTTCTTTTTTTTTTTTTTTCTTTAAGAGAGATTTTGGGCAGGAGACCAAAATTAGTGAACACTTGCTTTTAATGCAGCATAGTAGCAGATGGTCAGTAACAGCCCATGGACTCACTGTCTCTTTTGAAGTCAAATATGATACTAAGTAGCAGAAGTAAAGATAATGAGGTGAGCAATTTGCTTTACGACAAGCAGGGGAAGAAATTTGTTTTCAATTAGCCTACCAAAACACAAGATCAAGGTTAAGGTATTTAGTGATATAGCACCATTTGAGTTTTAGTGCTGCTAGAAGTCTCATAGTATTTTGCCACAAAAAAAAAAATAAAAAAAATAGTGCTTTTAGGCTGGATTTGTAGTCGAGGACCATGGGAAGAGTTGCAGGAAAAAGCACTAAGGCCAGATGAGTTACTCTGGGTTTATAGGCTGTTGTACACTACATTGTGTTGCTCCCATTGTCTTCAGTGACTGGCAAAGTGAAGCTTTCAGATGCTTTTCACAGATATTGAATATTTACTTCTAGGAAAAGGTGGAATTAATTCTAAGAATTATTCAATTTCCCATTACTAAACTATATGCACATACCTAAACTGCTCAAAAATATAAGTCCTGGTTTAGCACAAATTTTGGAAGGAAACCTCCAAAGGGGTCTCCTTGAAAAAGCATATTTCATCAGCACCCTCTCCCCAACCAGTTTGGGAGAAAAATCTCCTTGGAGAAAATGGGGAAAGACTGTTTATTTAACAAGTGAAGTATTCACAAGCATGAAAAAAATGAATAATATTAAACAGTGGAACCACTCGTAGCTCTGAAGAGATAGTAGATTCAGAGTTCCAGAGCCCAAAGTCCTTTCTGTAGGTATGGCTCCCTCCAAGCTAGGAGCTGGAAGGGGCAATGTCCAAGGGGTGTGTGCTGGCTTGGGCTCCCAGTGCTGGTCTTCTGAACCAGAGCAGAGGTGAATAGTTCCTCTGGAACTCTGAAAGTTCCTCTTAAGAAGCCACAGTCGGGAGGAAAACTTTTTGTCTTGGCTAATGGACTAGAAGCTAGCTTAAAAGCAAGGGAGAAAAAAAATCTTCTGAGTCTCTCCATGCTAAAACATGACCGTGAAAAAGGAGTGTGGGGGAAAAAGTGCAGTTGCTGCAGACAAACTGAGGGCTCTTCTCCCCACCCTTTGCCCTCCCTCTCTCTGGGCCTAGCTTAAAGCTATTTCTGGGCAAAAAACCCAGATGATGGGAATACCAGCACCATAAAGCCACCCTAGGAAACTGAATTTTCATATTTTATTGCATAGTGCATCATGAAAACTGGAAGAAATAAGTTGATTGAATGTTATGCTGGCTTCTATATATGGTGTTCCAGGAACACATTTATCATCAGAAATTAGTACTGCTCACTGCTTTTGACTTTGCAGTATGTGGAAGAAGGCATCAGTCTAAGAAATAGAATGAAAACATCTATATCACAACCCTTCATCCTTTCTAAGCCTATGTGGAGCTATTTTTTTTTTTTAATCCTCTACAATTTTGCTTCATCCATCCATGCACACATCTTCTTCTGAAATTGCGTTTTTGTTCTTGTTTCCCTTTGTGTGCAGTGATTGTACTGCAGGGTCATTCTTTGTGGCAAGAGCCACAGGATGAAGTCTCTGCCTGGCTCACAGGACTGTCCTTCCCTTTGCACATTTGTATGGGGCCCTATGTGGGTCCCCTAGGATGAGCCCTATAACCCTCAGTCGTGTTTTGACTTGTTTGCTCTTCTTCTCCACCCCCTATTTTTGAAGTTCTGCCACTCACCTCCCTCAAATGTTTTTAGGGATTTTTAAGCAACATTGGAAAGTGTGTGTGTAGGTACCCATGATGGTTTGATACTTGAATTTATGCTTTTATTAATACATTACTCTTACTAAAGCATGTTTTATACACTTTATACCTGCAGTTTTAGAAATTTAATTTTTATTGTTGTATTTGTGTATGCACAGATGACACTTTATACAAGCTTATTTAGTGCAGCAAGATTTTTGCCAATGTGTATTTTTTTGTACTTATAAACATTTCCTGGTCCTAAAAGAGAATGGATAGTATGAGGTCTGGAACTCCTCCTGGAATTTAGGACTGGGGCACCGTTCACCACTTGGCTTGGTTGGCAGCATTCCCAGTGTGGTCATGTCAGGGAAGCTGTGTGTGTTCCACCATTCACTCCACAGTGAAATGTCAAGACTGAGGATGTGCATGACACATATGATGTGGAGCTTACCTACAGCCCCTTTCACCTCAAAATAATGTGTTTTCCTCTTGAACTAACTAAATCATAATAAAAGAATCAGGATACTTCGAGTAACACTAAATAGAGGTCTCCAGTTTTGTGTACATCTGTATACTATAGCTCTTAACCTTTTAATACAAATTTCTCTGTTCAGCATGTAATATTCTGTCATGCAAAAATACCACTTACCTGGTGTAGGAATACTAGAGGATGAGATCTTTCTAAAATGACCAGTTGCTTAATATCTTGGAAAGTAAAAGTCACAAAAAATAAATTTTCCCCATATGTTTAGTGTAGGGTATTTGAAGATTTTTATTGTATTGGTACTGTGCCATGTGCTTGTTGTAAATATCTGGAAGCACTGAAGAGTGATACAGGTTATCTTTTCAGTGCTTGCTTCTTGCTCCAAGGCCAATGCTATTACTAGTTACAGACTCTTTCATGTCCTGGAGACTGTTGTTTCTAGGCTTTAATAACTCCACATCCATTTCCATATGAAACACTTTCCCTGCAGTGCCTTTGTCGGGCTAAGTCCAACCAACTTATTAAAGGTACCTAAAGACTTTTCCTGCAGTTCAAATGAGTTCATGTGGAAAAAAATTAGCACTCTTCATGCTTGTTAAAGGTAACTTTATCATTCTTTTATTGGAAGATTTTAAACAAATCAACTCCCTGCCACCACTGTGTCCTAGAAAATAATAGTCCAGCTCCTTGATTGTACAAGTGCAAGCAAAATATGTAAGGAGGCAAATAAAACTTGTAAACAGTTGTGAAGTTGTAAAGTATAGCTTGTTTCTCCATTAGTTGGAGTAGCAGTGTGATGGGACGCTGGGTCAGGCATCTTCTCCATATGGTTTCCCATGGGATTTCCTCTGCACCTGTGTCTTCCCAGCCATGTGACTGTAACTGGCTTCTAGGTCTTCAGAGAGATGTAATAATACACATAATATCATTGTTACTTAAGTTCTTCCTTCCTTGTCTGCTATTTTTGTTGTTTTTTGAGACTTCTACTGATGTAAAAATTGAGATGCTCAAAACTTTGACAATACAGTCAAGAGACTGTACTTACAGTACCCTTACAGTAGGGTTGTAAATAAGGCATTTGTACATCTTGCTCTTTTCCAGGGGTGTATCCACCATATCCACCATATCCAACCACAACTTAAAACCAGTATTTATATTTCTAACAGAATTTGAATTCTTCATCTATGTAAAGATGTTTTTGTGCCAGTGAGTTGGCTTTTCTGGTAACTTGTAGCCTTAAAATATATGAGTGGCTGTGGTTCAGGGAGGAGTCACAGAAACATTGTCTTCTGAAGTAGACCAAAATTAAGTATGGTATTTTGGGCTTTTCTTTTGTATTTTATATTTGGAGAAATGGTATACTCTGAAGAAAAAAAGTATTACTTTTGCACTAGGGACATGGTGGTCTTACAAAAGGAAAGCCACACTAGATTTTGAAAATGTATATGATGTT